GTTTAAATATCAACTCTATTAGGGAAAAAAAAAAATACAGATGGTGCAAAACACAAAAACAGTGGATCTGATTTCCAGAGGGTTATACTGGCATGGAAAGATCCTTGCTAAACTTTGGGACAGCGCAACCCTCCTTGTGTTCCCTGGTGCTGGGAATGTGGCCTGGCAGTTAACTGGAGAAGATCACTTCCACTCTTCAGCACATCCCGAGTTGCCAAAATAGTCTGCCTTGGCAAGGTGAGAGAGCCAGAGCAGTTTGGGAAGCAGCAGAGTGCTGCCCTGGTTTCTTCTTCTATCCCACAAAAAACCTTTGGAGATTTCATAATTATTGCTGATCTTCACTGAGAAGCAAAAATCTTTCTTTTTTTTTTTTTTTTGCCTTTGTGTAGGGAAATTACAATATCACCCCAGAATAATCCCATGCTTAGGGCAGGCACTGGATTGTGGTTCAAGTCTTGTGGCTCTTATCCACATCATTAACTTTTCTTTCTTGCAGCCCAGTTCAACTCTATACCACAAGATCACTGCATGTGGGCTTTTTGTCTTTTGTCTGAGAATTTTACTGGCTCCATATCTGTGTTTCCTGAATTACATCCTGCATTAGGTGCAAATTTTTGCTTTGCAAATTCTGTTTTAAGCCTTTACCCTCCGCTGATTTAATCAACAGGAGCAGAACAGTTCTGGGACTGAAGTTCTCTCCTTTTCACCACGGGTTTTTAGCTCCACATCTTCACTGGGAGCAATGCCAAGTGTGAACATCCAGGAAGAACTTGCAGGAGAGCAAACTGAGCAGTCTGCAGCAATATCAAGCAGGCAGCAAGACTCAGCAGAGCAAAAAACAGATTAAAAGAAAGGATCTTGCATGACTGAGCCCTTGTACTGAACACACAGTGTGGGATGCTGTGATCTAATAGTGTCTAGACAACTATATCCTACATCACTTTCTTTCCTCTCTAACACAAATACAGATAGAAGTTTCCCAAAAGAAAATACACAAAGAGAATTTCAGGTTGCAGCCTTACAGCCTCACTAGTGACTTTTGCACAGAATCCCCACTCTGTTTTTTACAATACATATTTATCTGTGCACATGGTTCCCCTTTTTGCTTGTTCCAGGGCTAAAGTCTTAGAAACAAAATCTTTGTAAGAGGTTGTGCAAGGCTGTGCATTCGTAATTTGGTGCGGTTTTGTGTCAGTAAACAATGTTTTAACATATAATCAATGAGAATGTTCTTATTCATCATTATTTAGCATAATTAAACAAAGGTGTTGAGTGATTATGAAGTATTCATAGTGGACAGAAATGCATTTTAAAACAAATAGGTTTGGAATAACATCTCTTTTGGCTCTGAACAGTCAAATAAAGATATGTCTTATACAGTTTTGCTTCATGGTTTTGGTATAACAAGCTCCTGGGCTGCAAGAATCAAAGTTTGGGGTAATTGTGATAAGCAGATGTCTCCTGTTAAGATATCCAGGGAGTCATGTTCTCTTGGAATATTTTTCTTCAGTTTCACAGCAGAAATAAAGATGCTGTGAAGTTTCTGGCTTTTTGAAGCAGCTCCAGTGCAGACAGAGGTGGTACAGCCTTCAAAGTTCCTTTTTGTGAACCTTGGGAAAGCAACACTGCAGCAGTTTGTTTGTGCATTTAACTCCCTGATTTTGCCAGACACATTTTGCTGCTGTTGGCTCTCTGGGATCCTGTCCAGTGCTTTTTCAGAGTTCAGACTATGATTAAATAGGAGCAGTGTGACATGACAGAAAGTTTTCTTGTATTTCAGAATACACGTGTCTTTTCTTGCTGCAAACAAGGAAGCTGACAGATGACAAATTCTGGATGGCATTTGAACTAAACTTCCAGTAGACTGGCAGCGTCTTTATGTTTATTTTTGGTGGAATGACCTTTCCATGTGTAAAGGCTCTAGATACTTCCTGATTAAGTTATACTTCCACATGAGAAACTTTCAGCTCAGAGGAATTAGGTGAAATTTTAAGAAAAAGGGTGTTCCCCTGAAACATAAAGCTGTAATAAAATTTGCTTTTTCTTGTCTTTTTGGGTTTTTTTTTTTGGTTGCTGTCAGTTATTACAACCAGATTTTTGGAAGAGTTGATGGGCTTGATGAACTATGAAAAAAGAGAAATTATTCTTCTGGTTTTGACTTACAGGTAAGATTTCTTCCTCTTAATAAAAGATAATTGATATCAAAATAAAAGAGTATTTTGATGCAGAAAACTGATCCTTCTTCATGTTTTCTCATTTTTAGAAGTTTTAGTTATTTGACAATTCTTTTTCTGTTTACTTATGCATTATTATTTAATTAGTTTACTTTGCTCAGCTCCCATCCTGACCTAGGTCTGGTTTCCTACCTGTTTTTGCTGTGAGAGAAGAGCTTTGGCTGTGTCTGTATTGCAAAATTCAGATAGCTCAGACTATTAGCCATGTCTCTTTGTAAATGTCCACCTTCCAGCTAAGTCAGGTAAAACTAAATACATTCCATTTAGATGAAGCATTAGGTTTTTTGGGGAGAATAAATATATAAAGTAAATAACAAAGGAAATCAAGGTCAGGAGTGGAAAGCATGTTTTCAGGGCATGGTTTAAGTTTAGGCTGGTTGTATTTCATAATTCCTGATTCCACATTGCCCTCCTAGGGCAGCTTGTGCTACCTCTCAGGTTGACCTACAGTATCCTGAAGAAATGATTTAAGAACTCAAACCTTTCTTGTGTCTTGATTTTCTTCATAAATCTGTAAAATGTGAGTTCTCGAGGGAAAAAAAAAAAAATTAAAAGTGCTTTGATTTTAGAGCTGAGGTGAAAGCCAGTCAGCAAACCGTCTCTGCAAGATTTTACTGCCACAGCACAGCTGCCAGACTTGGAATTAACAATAAGGTATGCAAGCTAACAATTTCCAGTAGATAAACTGCTCTGACAAAGAGATAAATCAAGAAGAAAGTCCAAAACAGCTCCTTTACTAGAGTCAACACTCAGTGAAAATTGCTATGTTGCTGTAGCCTCTGGGCAGCTCTCTGGGCTCAGCTGTCCAGCCAGATTTTTACCCACCAAATAGAGCCCCTGTCCAAGCCATGGACAGCCAGATTCTCCAGGAGGATGCTGTGGGAAATGGTGTTAAACTCTTTACTGAAGTCCAGATGAACACATCTGCAGCCTTTCCTCATCCACCAGGTGGGTGTCCCTCTCACGGAAGGAGATCAGGTTGGTCAAGCAGGTTTTGCCTTTTCCTAAACTCATGTTGGCTGGGTCTGATCCTCCCATTAACAAATCTCAGAAGAGGTACTTGTTAATGGGAAAACACAGTTGCACAGTAGAGGGTTTTTTTTCCAGAGAATTTCTCCTGGGATCATTGCTACCCAACACTCTGAATTCTGCAAATCTTAAACCCAGTAGAAAAACTTCACTCTCAGTACACACTTGGAGAAGACTCCAAGTGTATGGTTGCTTTATAAAGGGCTTCACTCCTTGGATGTTGCTGTAATTAAATTAAAATATATACCCACTTTTTACAGAGACCTTGAGTATTTCTGAAACTGAAACAAACCTTAGTTTATTTTTTTTTTTTTTATTGCTGCATTAGACAAAAACACATTGCCAGGGACATCAGGCAGTGCTGCACACACTGATGCTGCTCAGTACTGGTGCCACGACACCATTCTGTCTCACAGCACCTCCCCAGTCCTGCTGCATCATCTCCTGGAGCTGCAGGAACTGGAAAATATCACAATCAGAGAATTCCTGGGATTTACTGCCTGTAGACCAAACAAGTGAAATAAAAAAGTCTTTGATCTGTGCTGGACACAGAGATTCCTTACCTGCAGATCTCTGGCTATTCAAAATCCATGCTTAGAGTACCCCACTAACTCCTTATATATTCAAACTGCTGTGGTTTTAATACAACTTAAGGAGTTACTTAAGTCACCTCTCTCTTTATCCATGTGCTAGAACAACTTCTGCTAGAAATGTGTGCCTGGCAACAGTCTTGCATGTTTAAATTAAAGAGAGGAAAACACTACTGTGAGAGCAGCAGGCACGAAAATATCAAGTTTGATAACTATATAAGCAGCTTTCTCTGTGATATTACTATTTTGGAAGAGGGGGAGAGGGGGTATTTAAGAGTACTTGAATGTTCAAGACGTGTACAAACTGATGTTTTTCCAGAGTGAGAGTGCTATGATTATTCTGCAGGAGCTGCATGTGGAGATGCTTATCCTCTGCCTGTGCAGTTATCCTGATCCATTTCCCCACTGACAATTCCTAATTTGCCTTCTCTCGGTGGATCCCCTAAGCATCACACACCTCTTAATCTCCCCAATGAACTGATACATACGGTGCTTGTGCACAGCCAGGCTGTGCTGCTACACACACAGGTATGCGGCAACGAAATCTGAATTCTTGGGAATCAAGGGATCAGAGTGGTTTGGGCTGGAGGGAACCTCAAAAAAACCATCTGGTCCCAACTCCCTGCCACACACAGGGGCAGATCGCACTAGGCCAGCTTGCTCCAAGCCCCATCCAGCCTGGCCATCCTCCTCCTGACGCTGCCGGCAGTGCCACACGCCAGTGTAACCAAGCCGCTCCCGCCCGGCGCAGGCCCTGGGAACGGCCGGGACGAGCCCCGGGCACAGCGGGTCGCGGCCTTTGTCCTCCGCACACGGTGACGAGGCTCCAGCGCAGCCTTGGCACCTTCGTCCCGCTCCGTGGGGCCGGGGCTGGGCCCGGGGCTAGGGCTGGGATTAGGGCAGGGATCGGGACGGGGATCGGATCGGGACGAAGCGAATCTTCCCGGGCTGCCGACGACCAATCGCGGCCGCCCGGGCGCGCCCCCGCTGCTCCGCTGCCGCCGGATGTGCCGGGAGCTGTAGTTCTCTTCCGGCGGTGCCGCCGTTCTGTGCTCGGCCATGTGAACTACAACTCCCAGTAGGCTGCGGGGTCTCGCCGCGCGGCTCCCGGCAGTGCCTACCATCCCCATCGCGCCCCGCGGGGCCGGGAAGGAGAAGCGGGTCCGGGAGCGCGCGGGGCGGCGCCTGCGCAGAGCGTGGCTTCCTGAGCGTCTGGTGGCGGCCGCCATTTTGTGGTGCCGCTTCCCTCTCCCGCTCGGGATCTGCGGCCGCGGGACCTGGCGCGGGGGCGACGCGGAGCGAGGGGAGCCGGGGCCGCCCGCACCCTCCTCACCTTCCCTTCGCCTCCGTGCGCCGCCGAGCCCCTCCGGCGCTGCCCCCGGGCGCGGCTGCGGAGAGCGGCGCTCGCCCACCATCATGGAAGACGACGGGCAGCCCCGGACCCTGTGAGTGGGGAGGGGGCGGCGGGGTGGGCAGCGGGCCCGGGGCGGAGCGGGGCGGGGGCAGGGATGCGCTCCCAGAGAGCGGGGCCGGGGCCTAGAGGGGTGCCGGGGGAGCGGAGGGGGCTGAGCGGGACAGAGCGTGTGCGGCAGGGCCGGCAGCGGGGTCCGGGCAAGGGGAGCGGGAGGGGGGCGCGGCGGCCCGCACGGAGATTGCGCTGCACCGATCCAAGGAAAACACGGGCGAACAGCAGCTGGACCCGGGGTGTAACGGGGTCCATCCTCGGAGCCTCCGGGGTCCGTCCCCGGAGGTTTGGGGGTGCAGGCGGGGGTCCCAAACCTTTCCCGGAGGGCACAGGCCGCCCCCGGGCCCCCCCTGCACGGCTGTCCCGGCGCTGGAAAAGTTCTTTGTGCTCTCCCGGCGGTGGGTGGGATGGGGAGCGCCGGGAAACCGGGAGGGATCGCTTTTCCCTCCAGCGTGTCACGGTGTGGTTCAATAACAGGGTATCGGGCCCAGCAGAAAGAAATAACTGTGTGTTGTCCGTGTCTCTCCGGGCTCTTTAGTCACTTGGTGGCTGTCATCCGTTTTCTGTTTAAAAATACAAATTTGAACATTTTGGGGGTTGCTGTTGAGTTCTTTTCAGCTTTGCAGATATGTTTTTGATGAATTTTCTTTGTCCTGTTGGCTTAAACGAGGGAGGCTCGCACTTGTGGTTGGGCGCTTGAGAGCAGGGATTTTGTGCTGCTGCTGATTTTAACCAGTTCCCAGATTTCCAGTGCAGCTGCCAGAGGGTGTTTCGGGCTCTGTGAGCAGTGCCGCGTTCGGGCTGTCCCTGGGAGAAAGGCAGGCTCATGCTCGTGCTGCCCAGATGACAAACACAGCTCAGGACAGTGCAAATGAAATCTTTGTCTATTTAGCTTTCGGGACAGTAGCCTTTAGAAAAGCTCTCCAAGATAGTCTGGACTGAAAGCCACTCTGAAACAGAGTAAAATGTCTCATAATTCTCACTACCAAAATGATGACTTGGCATTTAAGGCTTCTCAAGGCAATTCGTGTTTTTTCCCCTCTCTAGGTCTGCAAAGTTCTTTTAACTGGTTTATAGTGTAGTATAAGTACTTAGTCCTTGCTTCCTGAGATGCATAGTTTAAATAAGCATATCTGGAATGCTTTTCGTGTTGATTACCCAAATGATCTGAGTTTGCTTGGCTCTCAGAGCAGACCTAAGTTCGAGTGTTGTTTTAGAATAGGAGGAGGGAAACAGCAGAGTCACACAGTATTCTATTAAGTTTTATTTTCAAGGCTCCTTTCTTCATTATTGGCTCTTTTTATTTCTTTTTAAGAACTGCTATATTCCCACTAAGTATTAAGGTGTTCTTTTAGTGCCAACAAGTTTGGGTACCACATTGGCCATGGGTCCTTCCCAGTAACACATCCATCAAGGACCTTACATAGCCCACTTGGTTACAAACAAGAAAAAAGTAAATTTCTACTAAGATGTCCGAAATAGCATCTCTACAGCTGCCACAAATGGTTTATTGCACACATGTGACTGTTTCATTTGTTAAACTAATAAACAGCATGCACATTAATTTCCTAGTAGTTCTGTAGTAACCACAATAATAAAGGGTTACTTTCCTGTAATTATTTGTAGGCTTTTTTCATATAAGACAAAAATTTCACTATAGTATTTTTTACATTTTACCTTCTTGTCCCTACTTTTTATCTGAAATGTCTTTAAATTTAGAATAGCAAGTTGTGTTTTAAAGATTATTATACTGAGCACTGCTTTTCATATAGAACAGTTGTGATCTCATAAATAAAACTCACTGTCCCCCAAGAACAACAAATAAAAATATTCTTAGTTGGACTTCTAAGTTTCCATTGTTTGGTTTATTTGAGGAGGGGGTGGGGGGAGAAAGTGAAGAACAAATTGTTTCAGTAGCTATTTGACCATGTGCAAAAGCGCTTGATTGATAGTGTAAGCAGTACTTGAAGAATGCCTTAATTTTTCACTCCTGAAGGAATAAATGAATCCAAAATATGTAAAATAGGAAGGATTTTTCTTTTCATCTTCTTATTTCTTTTAAATTTTCTTTTTTAACAGTTGCAAGTTTTTTTTGTTTGTTTTTTGGTGTTTTTTTACTTACAAAAAGCAAAACCTACTTAACCACTGTTTACTCAACATTTATGCCCATCTTAAACAGCTCAGGAATAAGGGCTGTTTCAATTTGCTGTACTTACAGGACTGTTGTGTGGTTTCCAGTCATGATAGGTCACGAACCTTTAAAAGTTCAGAATATTTTCTGAGGCTTGATATAGAAAATGGACACCATTTGCATTTTTATTTCTTATCTTTATAGAGATGTGAATAACCTTAGATACTTTTTCTGCCAAAAAACTTTCCAAGAATGGGGGCCTTTCTGTGTGATTTGTCACATGTAATTTTTTAGCTGGCCCTAAAATGGGCTGTGAGGTTCTGTTTTTTTTTCTTTTAATAGAACACTTGAAAGCTCTTTTTTTCTGTGACTACTGTTAGATCTCACAGGCTGTATCAAAGTCCTGCTTCTACTTTAAAGTTCAACTAAACTATCAGAAACCTGATGTGCTGCTAATGTTACCAGCTCTCACAGACAACCAGAAAAGTTCCAAAGTTGCATATTCTTGTTAATGCTTTTGGAAGTGTTTTGTGTTGTTTGTAGGTATTCAGTGACTGCTCTGAAGTCGCTGCATACCTACAGCTGTTATCTCATCAGCCTTGCCATGCTGTATTCCAAGTCTGGAATGTGGATAAGGTACAGGAGTAAAGCTTCACCTGGATTCACTTCTCTTGAACATTCCTTTCAGTTCAGCTCTTGTCCAGGAATGTTGCCTCTTGGAGGAGGCTACAAAGTGGATTATTCTTGGTATCATTTTATTTCCAGTAGCTTGTAAACACTAGACAGAGTTGCTAGAATTTCCATGGGCTCCTGAGCACATCAGTTACCTTATTGTTTAACATAATTTCCTCTTCTAAATATGGAAACTGCCATTTCTTGCATGTTGCCTATGTGAGAGATAAAACAGATTTACTATCCATCCTCAAAAAAGTATGTAAGGGAGTTTTGTGGACCTAAAAGTAGTGACTGTAAATGTCCCTTTCTTACCTCCCTGTCTAGGATGCAATACAAACCTGTTTACCTTCAAAAAGAGAGTTTTTTCTGCTCAAGCCAAAGAGTTGAGTTCCAAAACTCATTATGGACTGATACGTGCCTCTTGTGTTCTTTAAATAGTTCTACAACATCTCTGAGTATCAAGCAGTTTGTTATTTTTTTGTGTTGTCAGCAGCATTCAGAAGTGTAATAGATAAAAATTTATGTCAGGACATCTATCTGTCTATGGGTTGTTGGGGTTTTTTTTAGCTGCTTATTAATTGGTATTTAAGTGCTCCAGGCTTGCAGAAGGGAGCAAACACTATTGCCTGTGTGCAAAAAAACCCAACTTTTGCTGCCCTGTCACATCATCCGAGACCACTTATAAAAGTTTAGTAAGTGCTTCTGCTCTGCTGGGTTTTATAATTTTAAAAAAGTTTTCATAATAGATCCTCTAGAATGTAGCAGTCCAAAAAGATCAAAATAGCATGTTAGGAGTCTTCTGTTTTTTTTGAGGTGTGGTTCTGATAATTTTGATTTCATGAAATAGAAGATGCTGTTCTATTACATCATGTATAAATGCAGCTAGAAAGAGGAAAGCTAGCCGTAGTCTGGCCATGTGTAGTGGGTGATTAGCATCAGCTGAGCAAAGTTTTGTGTTTCCAGAAAGGTAAGGTGTCTGTTCCTAATGTGGTGAATATATTTATTTCTTTAGTTCTGTGGTATTCAGACATTTACACTGAAGATGTTTGCTTGTATGTTTTTATTAAAGTCGTCTCTAACTGTACTGAAGGAGGTGATGTTACTGCAGTCTGCTTAAAGACATGAAAATAACCATCAAGTCAAACTTTTTAGCATATTGTTTCAAATTTGTAGAGGTTTGTATTCCCATATTTTACATTTAGTTGGAGAGATTTGGGTCTCTCTGGGTGTTGTCGTTGCTACATGAAACTTTACTGTTTGTGCAGAATTCCCAGTGTGTGCGTTACTGAAGTTTGAATTTTAGCAGCTTGGGAAGGGTGAGAATGCATCTGACTAATGGTAATATTGTGCACCAAGGCAGTATTTATCATCTACATTTAGGGAATTAATGGACCAGTAGGATTTCACATCCCATCTGAATCTAGCAGTCAAGGTGGTCCTGATTTTTATGAAAAGGCAGCTTGTTTCATAGCTAAGGTTCGTGATGCAACATTCTCACAACTATCTTGCTGAAGACATGGTGGTATCAAAAAACCACTTAGTATATCTTATATCTTCTAGCAGTTAGTATAGCTTTTCTTACCTTCGTTGAATATATTGCTGAGGAATGGCTTTCCCTGGCCTTTCTTATTTTTTAAATTTTTGTCAGACCAACAGGAATTCTCCAGCTTGATTTTCAGACTTTTTGTGTTTCCCAAATACATGTTAATATTATGCAGAAGAGGAATATGTTTGGTTTTTTTGTTAGTGTTAATTGTACTCTTTACTGTATCTGATTTGCAGTAGAAATAATGTTAATATGACTTCACTGTATTTAATTTCATATCAGTGTTACTGTATCAGTGTGCTGTGAAGGCTCAGTATTAATGAATCCTGTTCTGCAGTATACAGAAGAAACCAGTACTAGCAATAAGCTGATCCTTTATGTTGGAATTCCTACTGGGATACACATTTTCCATCTGATTTTAGTAGTATCTGCAAAGGTTAATATTTCCACTAAAAGCTATTAGTGATTTACAATTTATTCTTGGTGAATGATTAACAAAAATTTAGTTAATATTGCAAAAAAGAAAGTATGGATGAATGTTTAACTACTAAGTTTTCAGGATAGCTGAAAAGTCAGTGAGATGGACAGTTTGTCCTGTAAGGGTTCTTAGAGTTCTGCAGTTTTTAACTTCTCTACTGAAAAGCTTCATAACAATACAGGCTTCTGTTAATGACTTGTGTTAATTCATAAGTATTTAATAAGAAACTAACGAGTACATGAAGGATTTTAGTGGAGGTTCTGTATTCAGGTGATACTTCAGAAAATCACTCTGGATCTTGTAGCTTTGGAGTCCTGCTGAGAAAGTGCAGAATTGCCCCACAGTTGCTGAAAGAAGAACAACATAAACAAACATCTGTTGATAACATTGTGTGATGTTCTGATGAAAACAAACAGTGTCCTTTTTAATTTTGCTCATCCAGATGAAAGTCCAGCTGTCAAACACAAAATTTGCTTTTCAGAAATTTCAAGGGTTGCCTCTCAGAGCAATTTCAGAGCACACCTTTAGTTAACTCAAAATAAATTTGTGAGCAATAAGAAACGCTTGTTCACATTTATGTTCACTGTATTAACAGGCCAGGCTGACTTTAGTTTGCAGTTTTATGACGTTCTGTAACTGACCAGAGTAAAATGAATAAAATCTATATTATTTCAACTTTTAAATCACAGAAGGTTCTGCTTATCTTACTGGTTGCACTTGAATTCTTTATGTCTTGACAGGCTTATTTGTAAAGATGATGAATGTCCCTCTGCTCATGGCTTTTGACATATATTACTGTGACAAGCCTTTCTCATAACTGATTACTTCGTTTACACTTTGATTACAAATTAGTCACATTGTTAAAAATAATTTAGTTTTGCCTTCACGACTTTCTCAGCGATTATTGTGACCTGGTAAATCTAGGACTCTTATCTAAACTTAATAAATACTTCAAAACTTGGAATTACTTCTCAAGATTTACAAACTAACAAAAATCAAGAAGTCAGGGTGATACTAAAATAATGCTGCCAGAATTTGGGGGGGATATTAACAAAGGTGGGAGCTGTTGAGATAGATGCTGTACAGTGCATTCCTATGGTAGAATTCTGCATAAATTGCCTTGTCTGTTGGTGAGTGGGCTGGCTTTCCAAATGTTCAGGAAAACAGAAAAGTTGAGTTGGTTGCTTGCAAGGCAGCACAATTTGTCCGAGAGCTGCTCCTGAGCTCATGGGAGTTAGATGTGTGTTTGTACCCAAATTCAGAAGTATTCTTGATGAGATACTCAGTGGGAAGTGAAACTTAAAATATCATTGCCCAATTGGTTTCTTGTTCTGCACAACATTCTTGAGCAATGTTCTTCGTGCTTTTGACATCTCTGTGCCAAGGAAATGATTGGCACTAGGTCATGGTGTCCAGTGTTGTCTGAATTGAGCTTCATTCTCAGTTATGTGGCCAATGTTATAATTTAGAAACAACATGAGTACCGCATTAAAACTATGAAATAATTTGTAAATATTGTCTTTAAGATACCCGAGATGCTTTAAAAGGAGATTCTTTATAATTGATTAAGTTTTTAAAACCATAATTACATTTTAAAAGATGACAATTTCTGGTTTAAAATCTTGGTTTTTTGTTTCCTTGTGTAGCTATGTAGGAAACCTCTCCAGAGATGTGACTGAGGTTCTCATACTTCAGTTATTCAGCCAGATTGGACCATGCAAAAGCTGTAAAATGATAACAGAGGTAAGGCCTTCCACATCTGGGGGGGTAGCAAATAAAATGTAACTTTATCCCAAGTTGTCCAAAACAAACGAAGTTGAGGGTTTCTTTTGACATTACTGGCAGTGGGTTTCTTTGTGTTGATTGTGTTTGGCTTTGGGGATAACTTTTTGCCTGAGAGACCTGGTGGGTACAATCCTGTGCTTTTTGCCTGTAGCCCTGACATACCTTTTATCAGCTGGTGATGCGATCCCACTTTATTTAAAAGATTACCCCCTCTTCGCAGAACCACATTGTTCTGATGATCAGACAACTTATTATTTCAAGTGTTATTCGTGGCTGTTCTGTACATTTTTCACTTTATTTGAACATGAGCCTCAGTAACTCTTGTCCCTTTTGAATAAATGGTTCTTTGCTATGGATAAAAAGTAAGAAATTCTTCAAAATAAGTTTGACTCTTCCTCGGCATTTTCTGCACTAGTTCAAATACCTCTTGTCTGCACCAGTACAAATAGCTCTTGTCTGCACCTGTCTGTTCTTAAATTAATTTTTCCTTGAAACAAAGTGACAAAATTTCCATAGTATTCCAGATAAATTCTTTTTGCACAGAGTGTTGGTAAGTATTAATGCTTTCTTATCTCCATTGTAAATACTCTGATACCTTTACAGTTGGCAGCCATTTCTGCAAGCTTTTTGACACATCCTATAAAACTTCTCTCCCTCTGGTATTTTTCCTTCCTTCTACGTTTATAACTAGTAAGCTTTGAGCAGGCAGACTCTAATCTGAACTTCTGCCAGGTTTAAGCTTTGGTTCTTCATCTCTGGTTTCTGTGTACTCTTCATACATTTTTACTACATCTTATGCTTGAAACTAACTTGTAATTACAGATTTCTTGAAGACAGTTACATTTTTGTCAAGGTTGTTAATGAAAGTATCAGAAGGCAAGTCTTGTGACCAGGCTTCTTCAGGAATGCTACCAGAAACTCCCCTGTGGGCTGCTTCTTTCAATATGTCATGCAGCTTGTTTATTTCTTTATTTTTAGTTTATCATCAACTTGCTGCTTCTTTAATCACTCTCATCTTTGTCTGGACTAATAATTTCCTGTGTGACACTTTTCTCTGCTGCATTTGCTTTAAGTTTATTGGAGAAAAATGACAGAAGGCTGACAGATGACAGTCGTTAGATTTTCTCTGAAGAAACAGTTTTGATTGTCATGTGCTCTACAGACATAAGGTGCTGCTGCTCCCACCTTTGGCTGGGTGAGAGCTGTTAGCATCAGTTTGGTTTCTTGAGGAGCAGGTGAGAAATTCCAGCATTTTTACCTTGGTTGAGGCTTTGTGGTTTTAAGATCTTTCCATAAATGAGACGTCTTCATGAAACAAGTAGATAAACAAAAATTGCTGGCAGCTGTATTCAGTCACACAGAGGTGACTGCACTGGGCTGACCTCAGCACCTGCAAACAAGCCGTCACAGAAGTGCAGGTTGGATTCTAGACTGGCACTGGCCTGCAGCTGTCACAGGATCTGTCCATGGTGTCCATCCTTCTACAGAGCGTGGTAAACCTGCCCTAGGAACTGAGTCATTGTTAGGTGGTTCTTACCATTGTTGGTAACACCATCACCTTTTAAAAACCTGTGATTTTTCCATTTTAGCCAAGCGTACCAAGTCATTATTTTTCTTTTGTAGGGTATGTGACATGAACACATCAAGTGTTGAAAAATTTCAATTTCTTTTGGGGGTATATAATACTCAGGCTGGTGGCACGCTATTTGTAGATAGTGTGAACACCTAAAGATCTGAGTGTCTGCAAAAGAGATTCTTCTCTTGTTCAGACAAGTTCTCAGAGCTAAAGAAGACCTCCCTACAATCTACAAGTAATGCTGCACTTCAGCTGAAGCATAAACTACACTAAATTTTCTAAAGGAGCCTTAAATGAGTTTCCCAAAGTAGTGCGAGAGGAGGGGTGAATTAAGGCTTTCTTTTTGGGGCATCTGAGGTGAGTGTAGAGAACTTGTGAGAACTTTGTGATTGAAACTTCATAGTCTCAGGTACATTTTCTCCCATTTGTTCATTGTGCATCATTTAGAGGCCCCAAGTACTGACAGTGTTCAGAAGGATGACTTTAGACTCCATGACCATTTTAGGTGTATAAAGGCCTTGTGATCTGTCCAACTGTTGCATCTTGACAGCTTCAGAAGTAGACAGGACTATGTTTGAATCTGTACAATCCAGTTTTAGGGGGAAGGATTAGAATTGTTCATCAATGTAAGGGTGTCTGAGTTATCAGAAATTAAATAGGAATGCTGGAAAAAGCTTCTCTTAGCTTGTGTTACAGGAGTGTTCTACCTGGCACTGGGGGAGGTTGATAGGTGAGAATATTGATGCCAGAACAGTTCTTCTGTGCTAGACCCTTCCCTATCCATGTGAGAAATAACTTGTTTAGGGTAATATTAGTGTTTGTCATCTTTTGGTCTGTGCACGTGATGAATAGTTAATGGAAATGTTTCGGTTAGAGTTCTTTACTCATTACATCTTGGAGGTAGATCAAATCCAGTGTTCAGGTTGGCATTCTCGGCATCCTTTCCACTTGATCAGCTTTTCAGAAAACTCTTCTTTGCACTTTATACTCTGGTATATTTATTACTTCAGTGACCTCTGTCAGTGAGTATTTTTAAAGGTGATTTGATATGCCATCCCACAAAAACAGGTTGTACTCAAGGTTTAACAGAGTTAAGAGTCAATTAATTAATATCCTTTTCCTTCAAACTATTTTGAGTTCTTTTCAAAGGTTATTTCCCAGTTGTTTGCTATGGCATTTTTAACTTGAGACTGACACTGTGCAGCTTCCAGGTTGCTGCCTGCTGGTGGTTTTCAGTCAAATAAAAGGAAAGACTTCCTAAGTAGGACAAGAGAAAATTGGTGAAAATGTGTCTGGGGAATAAACCTTTCTAGCTTTGAGTATATGCATGAGGCAGTTTTGTTCTTCTCTCCATTCTTCCCCTTTTCCCTCCCCTTTCCATCCAGTTTGCAGATCACTTTTCTGATCAGTTATTTTTAGTTCAGTAAACTTCAGTCCTCATTCAAAGCAAGCTATCCTTCAGAAACTGCTAGACCTTTAATAAAAAACCCATCTTAATAATTCTTGCATTTAAGTGTAATGTCAAAGGCTATTTCATAAATCTGATGCAAATCATTCTGAAAGTTTCTAGCTATAAGTAATATATTTTCCTGGATTTTCTTCTCAGCAACCCGATAGCAGAAGGGTCAACTCTTCTGTTGGATTTTCTGTTTTGCAGCATACAAGCAATGACCCTTATTGCTTTGTGGAATTTTATGAACACAGAGATGCAGCTGCTGCATTAGCTGCTATGAATGGGAGAAAAATTTTGGGAAAGGTAAGTTGCTCACATGGTAATCTTAGATTTAAAGAATGTAGATTTGCGTGAAAATATTAATAAAACCACTGAAGATGTTTTACCAAGATTAAATATTGATAGAATAATCTTTTAAAAGTATTGTTATGAAAAAGTAAGTCTTGTTTAGGAAATGTATTATTTGTGATGTTCTGTTTATGATGGTGTTTTATATTAAATGATGATTTGTAAACGTTGGAAGTTGTAACCCACCCTTGAATGAACTTATAAAATGTAAGAATTTTGTGAATTTATACTAAATCTTATACTTGTTTTCAGGAGGTCAAAGTAAACTGGGCAACAACACCAAGTAGCCAGAAAAAAGATACATCCAGTAAGTAATGTAATGCCACAGTATCACTTCTACACAAATACTTCACAAAGTGGTAATAATTTATCATAAATGCATTTAAACATATTTTTTCTCCCTCCCATCTAGTGTTTAATAGAATTTTGTGAACTAATTCTTCTGTTTCTGCTTTACACCTGGGGAAACCGGAGTGGACAGATTAAATTGCTGCTGCTCTTCACATGGAATCCTGAGCGTTCCTGTTTCCCAGTGCTGTGTGCAGAGCATCACTTTCTCAGGAGTTGAAACTTCAGATAGCAGTTAAATATTTGATTAGTAAATTATTTATTTTCAGATCACTTCCATGTGTTCGTTGGGGATTTAAGTCCAGAAATAACAACAGAAGACATCAAGTCAGCATTTGCTCCTTTTGGTAAAATATCGTAAGTATCATCATAAACATTTCCATTATCAGTTAGAAAATGTTATAGTGAAAATGTGTTTCTAAGTTGAAATGTTATTTCTTATCTGTTGAGATATTTTTTCTGCTGTTCATTTCCTTGTGCTGGGTGGGGGGGTTGCATCTCTGTGTTTCACAATGTAAATACAGTAATGTAATTGTGCTCTGGTTTGCTGAAAGCAATGTGCTTTTAATCTAATTTATATGCTAATGTCCTTCAACTTTTTATTAAAATTTAATTACTGCTCAAAGTGTGATTTTTTGATGTTGAGAATGTGTAAAGAGTAGTGACCTGACAACTGGTATATATTGTATCCTGGGTGTGTTTTATGTGCATTTTTGCTGCATTTCATTGGCAGTGTGGAAAACTGGGCAATTGGAATATAATTCTATAAAGCAGCTAGTTAATAACTTGGGAATGTTTTAAAAAAGCTAATACTTAGGAGAATGAAATCTGGTTTTTTGGATGATAATGGGATGAATTACAATTATTATATCTTAAATGAAAGAATGGTGACTTTACAATATGTGCACATTTCTGCCAGTTAAGAGAATGTTTCTTTAAACTTCTCATGGACAATTCAGGTGATACTAAATCACCTGATGTTCTAATTGAACATATTTAACATTACAAAATCCTTGAGAGTGCTAAAGTATATGTGTCCTAAATAGTACTGCTACAAAAAAATCTGTTAATCTTCTATCAGTTTATCTTTATAAAAATCAAAGTTGCACATGAACGTTTTTGTACTACTTTACAGGAATATATTTCTTAGAACAAAATTCTTATTTTTCTCTTGTTCTGTACGCATATTTTTAAATGAATCATAAATCTTATTTCTTACCTCTGCTGTTTTGTTTACTTTGCTTTTTGTCTCTTAATGTGGTAAGTAGTACTGTTTTAAAAATCAATTTAAAAAGAATAATTCAGGTTTCTGTTTCTCAATCTATATTTATACCTGAGACCTGCAGTTTTTCTAAAGTCCAAGTCACAATTAAAAGTAATAGCATTCTGGTTATTTTGCAGAATTGCTCATAAGAATGGACAGGATCTTGAAGGCTAACTGCAAGGAACTGTGCACACTGGAACTCAGTTGTAGATTTTTTCTCATTTCTATTTATTCTTATTATACATTATTTATATATACATATTTTAGTATTTACATTTTAACATTCTATATTCAGTGCAGTTCTATATTTCCAATCATTTTAACTTACTCACTAAAATTTCTGTGTAAATTTGTTGTTTTCGTACTGGTGTGCTTAGCATTGTTGTTAGTTTTATTCTCCTTTCTTAAATTTCTGAAAATGTCAATTTTTCAAAATTTACAGCTACCCAAACTCCAAAATGATGGTAGAGAATTGACCAAGAAAAATAAAGAAATCTGTTAACAGGCCATGTATGCCTTTTAATTCCTATTTTTTCCTCTTTTTCGATTTTTTTAATATTTCATATATTTTGTATCACTAGGCAGAAGACATTTAACTATTTAGAAAATGCATGGTAAATTAGATAGAATTGTTACAGTAATTTATAGAACAGTAAACCTTAGAGGACCCTAGCCAATAGAATATTAGAAAAGGAAACTTTGTTTCTCTTATACTTCAAATTTGAACATTCTAGTTATAGCCAGTATAGGTTATGTGCATAGGTTGCATGTTTATTACATGTTATTTTTTTTGTCCTACTGCTTTTTTCTAACAGGTAAAGAAGCAATAGGGAGAGTTCAGGAATGACTGTAGTTTTAGGGCTAACTGAATTTATAAGAAAAAATTATGCTCACAATACAGTGTGTGTGGTTCCTTTTAGTTTTTATTTTGCAGGTTATCAATACTACCCTCATATAGCTGTGCTTCTTTTCACAGGGATGCACGGGTAGTTAAAGATATGGCAACTGGAAAGTCAAAAGGCTATGGTTTTGTATCTTTTTATAACAAACTGGTGAGTAATCACAATGCAGGTTTAAAATAGTTCCTATTTTCCATTTTTAGTTTTGCCTGTTTATGTATTCACTGTTTATTAGACTTCACCCTAAACAAATTTACATGTACAGGAGCTGTATGTATGTTTAGGACAGCATGAGGAAACTGTGAATCATTTTCCTTAAATATTTTGCATAGGAAAAACACACAGTTTCAGGATTTTAGGCACATAAAGCCTGTTTGTGTGGTCAGAAGTCCTACATGTCAGATCTCTTTTGATGTTCTATAACAGTTACCTGGAGCTGTCATAATCAGAGAAAAAAATTTTAATTTCTTCAGATTTGCCAATGCCATAAGATACTGCAATCGAATGCCTTGATTAATGTATTTTTCCAGTTACACTTTCTTTGTTCTGTGGTGCGGCTGAAAAAGCAAGGAGTAGCTGTTATTTCCTTGTACCACTCTTCCCTCATCATACAGTTGTGTTTGGTTCCTGTGACCTGAGGGGAACTGCAACAGTCATGGAATAAAAGTTATTGGATTCTTTTCAGACCGCACCCTTAAAAACTCCAATTTGAAATTTGTATTCATTCTACGAAATTACTGGATGAATTCTAAACATAATACTAAAAAGTACTCTAAATTTAATGTCCTGATTGCTGCTCATTCCCATAGCAGCTGCACCTGTAGGGTTATGGTGTGACTGTTCTGAGCTGGTACTTCAAGGCCTGTTTGTCAGAGTGTATCATTCTGTTAGATTTGGTGAAGTGAGATATGCTCCCAGACTTCAGGTACTCCAGCCTGAGTTCTTAATGCATAACACAGTTAAGAGAAAAATAAACTCCTGCATTGGACTGCATCAGTTATGGCTTGGGCTCTGCTCCATTTTTGTCTCAGCTGTGATCCTCAAGCAGGATAGCAGAAAGATTCATCAGAGAGTGTTTCCTAGTCAATTCATTATGTATTCACCATGTTTTAGGAGCCATGGGTGTTCTAATCAATTGGGGTCGTTTGGTTTTGTCTTCTAGATTGGGTCTTCCTTTTCTTATTGATCATCTTTTGAAATTTCATTTTTGTATTTCTGTGTTTTCAAAATGGGTTCTCAATATAATTAAAACTAGAAAGATCAAGGTCCTGAGTTTGAGAAGAGAATTCTAGCTAGGAGCAGCTCACCTTTAACTTGTCTACATTTTCTTTGTCCCTTGTGCTTGGCAGTTTTTTCTTTAAGCTTCATGCCCTTGGAAAAGCATTTCAAATATGCATTATTTGCTGTGCCTGCCTTCTTCCAAAACAATTGAGAGGCAAATTGCTTCTTGAAGCTGTTAGCAAACTTATCCTTGCTTACCAGATGTTTCTGTTTACACTGTGAACTCAAAGATTGTCTTCAGTTTCATATTCAGGATTAAAAGTGGGCCATGGATTCTCATGTGTAAGAATTTAACATGTAGAGAACTTAAAAAGCATCCATTGCACACCTCCAGGAAGCAAAAGAAACATTTAATGATTTAATTTAATTTAATGATAGTTGTTTTATTTCAGTGATTGGTCCTGACATCTTTGTGACCTTTCCACTTTCTTGGGCAGCTTTTGAACATTCTATTTCAGATGCTTGTATAGTATATGTATGTATGGTATAAATGTGTGTATGTGTACAAGTATATATGTGGCATATATGCAGGTAGTGTATATATATATTATTGCAGTTGGCTTCTAACCTGTGTAGAAAATGGGTGGGAGGAAGTTTTTGCCAAATTGCCTCTGAGGGCCTTCCCTGTAACCATGTTAATATTCATGTTAATTAATGTTTGCTTGCTACGATTGTTCAGAATTTCATACTCTTCTGGTACTGTTACTGGTTTTGTCAGTGCAATTAACTGATAATCAAGTATTGGGAGTAGATTTGTACGTGGTTTTTGTTTGGAAGCGCTACAATCTCTGTTTTAATCTCTTCAGGATGCAGAAAATGCTATTGTACACATGGGAGGCCAGTGGTTGGGAGGCCGCCAGATCAGAACTAACTGGGCAACAAGGAAACCACCAGCCCCCAAAAGTACACAAGAAAGTAAGAGCTTCATGTCATGCTGTGTTGTGTTTGCTGTCTTTTCACTGTTCAGTGGGGGAATAAAACACAAGCCAAAATCATGTCACCTAAATCACATACTAGCTTGCCTTCCAGATCTTGATTAGAATTTTTTGGTATGTTGTATCAGCATAGCGGTGGCACTCCTGGTGTGTCATAAAATATTGAATGTGTTTGTTAAATGTGAAATTCATGCTTGTGTATGAGGTAAGTGTCTGGGTTACAGTCAGCCCACTGCTGAAAACCAGCCTTCTCTCTTTATAGATAATACAAAACAGTTGAGATTTGAAGACGTAGTAAATCAGTCAAGTCCAAAAAACTGTACTGTGTACTGTGGAGGAATTGCCTCGGGGCTAACAGGTATGAAGTGTTCTCTTATTTCTTATTATTGAAACTTTTTGGACACCAGGATGATTACTAATTAAAAAACATCTTACTTTGTAGATCAGCTTATGAGACAGACTTTTTCACCGTTTGGACAGATTATGGAAATAAGGGTGTTTCCAGAAAAAGGTTACTCATTTGTCAGGTATGGACAGAGGAAGCAAAATCCCTGGGTCTGTGCATGTAGTAATGCTTCATCTCTCTATAATTTCACTTGATTGAACTTGTCCTGATACAATAAAGGTTGTCACCATATATTCATAGAATAATTTGGAACTTGTAAAAAGGGCCACCAACATTTTTATCTGAGAAGATGAATGTTTGTGAAAGCAGATGTGTTTCTCTGGATTTCCTGTATGTATAGAGTCATGGTTTTTTAAGTAATCAGGTGGAAGTACTGTAAAACATAACATTAGTTTGTTTTTACATTTTGTAGGTTTTCAACCCATGAAAGTGCAGCACATGCTATTGTTTCAGTTAATGGAACCACAATTGAAGGACATGTTGTTAAATGTTATTGGGGTAAAGAATCCCCTGATATGACTAAAAACTTCCAACAGGTAACTGTACTTAACCTTTTCTTTGTATTACAAAAGCAATTGTGTTTACACCTGTAATGACTTCCCAGTTATAATGGCTAAATTTTGTCGTGGAGTTCTTATGAAGTTCCATGTTCTGTCTCAGTTATGTTCCAGTTCATCAAATTGGGCTAGTGATTTTGATGGAATATCTGTTACTGTCTTCTGGATATGATCCAAGATAGGGAGAAACTTTGAGGTAATTCTAATTCTTGCTGTTTTGCTAACTGCAGATTAGGTGGCTGTCCAACCAAAAATAGTCTTTGGGGTTTCAAGCACACACAAATACATTTTTCAGTGCAAGGATCTAATTAAGTCATAGTGACATCTTATTTTTCAGACCTCATTATTGCTTGTTTTAGCTCTCTGATTGATATAGTCAAAACTTTGCCTTCAGCAGCACAAATAAATCATCTCTAGAACCTGAAGTACAATGGATTATTCTTTCTGCAGGTGGATTACAGTCAGTGGGGACAATGGAGCCAAGTATATGGAAATCCACAACAGTATGGGCAATATATGGCTAATGGGTGGCAAGTACCATCGTATGGAATGTATGGCCAAGCATGGAATCAACAGGGTTTTGGAGTAGAGTGAGTAATTATATTTAATTTTTTTAGAATATTCCAAGAATGCTGTATCTTAAGTTTCAGGTTCATTTAGGTCAAGGATTGCACAAAGTTTCAAACTTTAAGGGGGGCTCCTTTGTGCTTGAAGTTTATTTTCAGTGCTTGCCATGAGCAGATACTGGGGTGAGTCACTCTGACTTGTACCTGATGGCACGTTTCATGTGTGATGGAGGCACAAAGATCACCCAGTGTGGTAAAGTTTTGGGTGGTGGTCTGGTATCTAAATATATTCTGGATTCTGACTTGAGGTGGTGAGTCTGAGCCAGGAGCCCTGATATTTGCCTCCAGGGAGAGAAGGAACTAGACACAGACACTTTTAACTTGTGCAGTTACAGAATTTGGGTGGGCTTTAAATAATGGATCTCTTGAAGACTGGAGTCCTCACACAAACTTTGTTTTAACATAATTTTAAAATAACTTTTTTGCCTAGTTCTTCATTATCTGGTGCCAGTTAAACATATTAAGCCCTGATAAACCTATCACTGGTGTTCATGCCCATGAGGTATTGGGTATTTCTTGCATTTCTGCATCACTGATGTTGAGTTCCAGCCACACCTGTGTGTGTTCATGCCTTTGGAGGCAGGTGCCATATCCAACTGGTACCCAAGGTTTGTGGGGTTTTTTCTCCTTTGTTCTTAAAAAGCTCGTGATATTTTCAGGAATCACATGTTGTAGAGCTTAACCTGAATTACTCATTAAAAAGAAGAAAATGTTCTATTTTGATACAAGTAGTTGTGTAGGAAGTATGTTTTTATGTTCTTTTATTTATTTTTTTATTTTTTTTTTTCGTTTGCTTTTCACCACTTTTTTTAACCATCCTGTTTCTTTTTAAGCCAATCTCCATCTGCTGCCTGGATGGGTGGATTTGGTGCTCAACCTGCCCAGGGACAAGGTGCTCCTGTAATACCTAACCAAGCTGGATATGGTATGGCAAGCTACCAAACGCAGTGAGCTGGGACTCTGTTTAAAAGTGTGTATTTCATGATAGGCTGCAGTTTCCAGTGACATTCTGAAGACTGGAATGTAGACAATGAAAAAAAAAAAAAAGAAAATATTTATTTTAAAAATGGAAATGTTTGGAACCTTTAGCACAGCTTTGCTTTGGTGAAGGACACAAATGTCTTCTAGTTCTGCCTTTTTAAGTTTTTGTTCATGATGGATATGAACATGTTTTTCTTTGTGTACAAAAATTAAAAATAAAGTCAATAAAGACAATTCTGACTACAAATTTTGATATAGTAGGAGACATGGCTAATGAATTTGATCTTTAGGTTACCATTCCTTTTTTTTTTTTTGTTTTGTTTTGTCTTCAGTGTTTTATATCATTGTGCTTTTAAGAGAAATGAAATGAAAAACAGCGAGTTGCTTTTAGTTGAACACACATCCTGAAATAAACTGTGGACCAATCACTACAACCTGCGAGACAGTATTGAGTTTTCAAGAAACCTATGGACATAGCTCAAAGTATATGTAGGTCTTGGAATAATTTTTTTTAAAAAATATTTAATTTTTCTACATGCTTACAGAAAACAACTGATACAATGAATAGTTCAGTCTGAAATGGAAAACAGTACTGTCTGAGAAATTTCACGTAACTTTTACTGTCCACATTCAGGCACACGCTGAATCTTTTCAGAGCTGGTTTGCTTGTTAAAACTGTAGTAGTTTACATTTCATTTTGAGAAGTAAAAGCGTTTTTACAAGTATATTGTTTGAATTCAAACCAGACAGTCATACTTGGGCTTTTACATGAAGTTTGAAGGCTACACATTGTAAATATTTCATAATTACAGTGTTTCAAAAGCATGCTCAAACATAGAAGTAGCAATGTAATTATTCAAATACTTAATATACCCTACTGCTTTAAATGCAGTAGATTGACAAGAATGTGCAAGACTGACATTTCCAAAGTTGGCTATTATGTAAAGTTACATAAAGAACTATAACAAAGAGCCTTAATTTTAATTTCATAAATCTTTAATGCATCACCTTTTTGTCATTAGAAATACAAATTTTTTGCTTTACATTATTTGGTATGTAAATACCTTGGTTAACAACCTTGTAAACCTATTTCAAGGTTATTATAAGTTGTATAGTATCTTGAGTGTTTTGAAAAATCTTGATGTTTTTTAAGTCTAGAAATATTTTGCCCAAGAATTTTTTAACAAGATTGTTAAAAACATCTTATTTTAGAGAATATTCAATGTGCCATTTGGTAAATGGAGATGCAGTTGAAACAGTACACTGAGTTGTGACTTATTTTTAATTAAAGTTTTTTGTCTTTATGGGTGGTTTGCATGTGATGAACCTGTACAGAGGCTGGGTTGTTTGTGTACTGAGTGTGTAAATGGATAAATCATGAAGATGTTTAAATGGTATACTTGGGTTATTTCTGAATTATTTTATGGATACATTGATATAAACTGCCTCAATAAATTTGAAGTTGAAAATGAATGTAAGTTAGATATAAGTAATGTGTCCTCCCTGTGACAGCTAGAGGGTGCAAATGCCTCAGCTGTAATCTGGAATGCTGAGGCAGGCACGGTTGGAAGGGAAAGAGTAGGATTTGCAGTGGCAGTTCAGTGAAGCAAACTTGCATTTTAAAAGAAGCAAAGTTTGGTTTTTAGAGATGGTAGTTCTAAGTGAGTGTCTGAGAAGCTGTATATTTTCTCTTTCCTGCTTCTGACCATGCAGGTGTTGCGAGGTAGAATAGTCTGTTTTGAAATGGAGATTTGCAGTTGTGTTAAACCCAGCCAGGTTGTGCAAATAACTACACTTATTGCTGTAGCAAATCACATGAGGGTTTTCTTTCCTCCTCTTTTATTGACGTGTGAAGTAGTACCTTGACTTTTAGATCAGGTTGAAAGTGAGATGTACTGGAAGAGCAGTTTAGTCAGTTGGCTCAGCTGCACCAGAGGTACTTGTGACTCTGGGCATCTAATGCATGCAATAATGACTGAAGTTAGTGTGGAACCGGGTGCTCGTGCTGGCAGAATTGGCCCTTTATCTCCTTTTCTCCTGTATGGTATCTGTAGTGTCTTTCTGCTCAAGATAGGACTCTTGTTTTTCTATACATTTTGTACATATGTGTATATCTACGCGAGGATCGGCCTATACATTGTAGTTTGGAAAAACCTCACAAGTAAGTCTGTGTTTTTGTTACACTCAGCCGGTTTAAGAAGTCACGAGACAGTAGAGATACAAATTGTGAGTTCCTTTAGGATTTCTTAGACTTCACTTGAAATCTGGGGTTTCTACATCCTTCTAGGTGTTTGCCATATGGCTGTTCTGGGTGCATGCTGGTGTGGAGGCAGTTTGTTCTTTAGGCGCTACTGAAGATTTAGATGATGCAAGTACATTGCCACATAAATGCCCATATAAATGGGTGTGAGATTAAGGCAGTGATCTTTCAGGTCTCAATGTGTAGATCACTTTAAATCTGATTATTTAATATGCCTGCTGTAGAGCTGGGCCGTACCTGACCTGTATTTCAGGATGAAAGATAAGATATTACCTTCTGATTTAAGTCTTTTGTCATTGATTTTTATACAGCTTTTCTGTAATGGTGATATTTCTTCGCAGACTGCTCAAGGTGTGAGGGTCTCCAGTGTCCTTTAATGTTTCTCTAGCACTGCGAGGAAGAGTTGTAAATTAGATTGCTTTTTACTCAGTAGCATTCATAAATGCATCACTGACAATTTTTTGGCACCAAAGAGCCTCTTGCACCATACTGCTTTTATGAGTGACACTTACACTGTTGTAATTTCTCTAACTACAGAAATTGACCACTACCTAACCCTTACCACTAGGATTTGGATTTCAGAAACTGATTTATTATGGCTTAAGTTGATGCGTGCAACCTAAACCAAGGTTGTAATCTGCATTTGCAGAAAATGTTCAATAAAAGTGGAACATGATAAAGGGCTTATCCTGTATTTGTCATCTGTCAAAGCATTGTCCCTCTTTGCTGTAAAACTGACAACAGGCAGACAAGGCTGAACTTGTAAACTATGCACTTGCAATCATGTAAAAGATGTTTTATTTAAAAAATTTTCATGCAAAATCATTTTGTATTTTGCAGAGTTGCAGTAGTCAGGCTGTAAATCTAAGGTTACGTGTAGCTTCTCATCAGTCCTGCCTCCTTGTGTATATTTGCTAACAATTTTTAGACATACTCTTCCTGCAGAACCTTCTTCTTACTAAGATAACTTCATGAGAAGCAATTCACTGTACCAGAACCATTCCTTTCATTTCACTCAAAAAAGTCTCACAGTGAATAAGGCTTAGTTTTGCAGAAAAATAGTGATTTGTTTTTCTTGTGTTTGTACACAAGGAAGCAGACTTAAACTGTATGGACATGATTAGTGTCTGATACTTCTTAATTATCTGACTGTTTTTGAACAAGGGCACAAGTGTTTGTTTTAATCACGTGAAACTGTTTCCTGGTCAGCAATAAAAGATTTTGTTGCACTGTTCTTACATTGCAAGATACAGGCAATCTTTTGTTCAGTAAACTTACAAAAAATGGATGGGGTTTGTGAAGAACTGCCTTGTTCCAGCTTGAATTTTCATATATAGATATAATCTGGGATCTGGATTGTGAGTGTAAGAGCAAAAGAAGGTTCTCTTGAAAGTGAGTGAAAATTTATTTGTTCTGATCACATGTGGTGCCTGTCCCACATTGATAAATTTAAGGGTTTCACTATGTAATGAAGTTTCTGTTCGTAAAAAGGCAACTGCAAGGCAGTAGCTTCTGGGAAGGTCTTTGTCGTGTTTCATTTCAGCTGACTTCTATGAATCCAGTTGATTGTGTAAAAAAAAACCCTTAAAAGTTGTTGTGCTTTTCAGTATCACATGGATAAAATCCCATCCTGCTGTACTATAATTTCAAATCAAAGAAAATGCTGAAGTGTTTATTGAATGTTTTACTTGAAAAAGAAACAGGACTTCATGTTGACAAGTGAGCACTGATTGTGTTGTCCTTGTGAGGCTGTGTGCTGATGTAGATCATGGATATGTGAATGACATGCTCTGCTCACTGACATTTAAAGGGTAATGACTCAAAACGTTAATTTGACATCAGTAATGATTATTTGAATACAAGTTATTCTTGCTTAAATACACAGCTCCTTATGCTTTGATTAAAGCTGATCTGAATCTTACTGGTTATTAAAGTATTCTTGATACGCTGTGGGAAGAAACATGGCTTTGCCTTCTATCTTAGTGTTGAAACTGTCAATAAGGCATCAGAGTTGCACAGACTGTTTTTTGTTTAGAAGAAAAACACTTAATGGAGTTGTCAGGGAATTCAGTGTAAACTGCCTTTTCTGTACTGATGGATGATGGTATTTGAATGTTTCCCTTGTTAAACAGTGGCTCAGTTACCATTCCTTGCATGAACCTGGTTCTCACAGATCCCAGATTCTCAGCAGCTGTCTTTCCCAGCTGCTGGCATGGAAGGGAGGAGGAGGAAGGGGAAGGATGGTGAGAAGAGGTGGTAGAGCCCAGTGTGCCTGGTGCAGCAGCAGCAGCAGTGCCAAGGCAGATTGTCAAACACATTTAAGATCACAACAGGTTTACACAGACACTGCAGCAGTACCCCGAGGGTTGTAACCATTCAGACACAAACTTGTTTCTTCTGCTTGCTTAAAATAATACAGCTTTAAAATTACAAAAGTAGAAACCACATAACCTCTTTGGTTCCTCAGACAATAGGTGCATATTAATCAACCAGCCTAGAACACTGAAGGTGACTAAACAAATAAAGGAGAAAATTGCATTAAGCATCTGAATTTGTAGACTTTTGCTTAATGTAAATGTCATAGTTTGGCATTCTGTTGCATGTCTATATTGACCTTTTTGTTTGTATAATTGAAGTAGTTTCAGATATGCACAGCTGGTTGTTGAACATCTTCCTGTCCTTGACAACTTCTGGAACAGGGATGGATAAGAACTAAGAATTGTAGGTCTACCACATGAAACACTGGATAGTGCTCACATTTCCTGGATGGAAATTGACTTACTAGAGCCAACTGTGTAGAAGTATAAATATCATAGGGGATGATGAGAAGCTGCTGTCCTCCATTTGAGTAGCTAGTTCTTTGACCTTAATAAATGAATAGTTATTACTGGGCTGCTGTTCCATGAAAAATGCCCTTCATGGGTTTTTTCCATTCAATGGGGCAGATCTTTTTCACTCCACAAACAATTTGTCTCCTTTAATACTGG